ATTTTGCTCCTCGCGCTTGACAATTTCCGCCATTTTGATATTCGTTCGACTTTCCTCCACTTCGACTTCTTGTCCTTCCTTCCTTCTTTCAAGACAACCCAGGTCTTGAGTCTGACCAGCGAAGGCGAGGGTCTTCTTCGGTAGACGGGCCGAGAGGCGACTACACACTTACAAGCATATCACAGATTGCTTGCCGTACGAGACCGATTTGTTGCGCAACCGAGAGAGAGTGGTGCTAGAGTATGAGTGAACAGCCGCGCACTACTGAAAGACGTGGAGGCACCCATGCAGTTTTAATTCAGGCCCTGTCTTGGCCGTGCAACTATTTGACTTCTGGCTCGTGTCAAACTTACAGGACCGAGGCGCCACCACTCGGGCCTTCGGTATGGCCCTACGGCATTGGGATTGCCTCATTGGGTAAGTGGGCAGCAGGTTTCTGGGTGAAGATGCTGAGGTTTTGAGTGTCAAATCCAATGTCCCCGAACACTGGAGGAAAAGAAGGTGTAATTGTGGGCTTTGGGAGAACGTGCGCTCCCCGAGCCCCTCGTTTCCCCTCGTCATTCTCATCTTCCACTCTGAGTTCAAGGCTCGGCTGCTCTGATTTGTGTTGAAGGCGCCCTGGAGGGGATTGGGGGCCACACCCTCTGATGGGTGTAACCACTGCGACGCCGTGTCGAAGCAGCCTCGGTGTTTCATGAGCAGGCCAGAATTGGTCCAGAAGATGGGATGCCAAATGGCTTTTTGTGTTTTTCGAAACCAGTTTCTGTAACCTGCAGTCGCCGTGCATATGAGAGGGTGGGAGCTCGGCCGTGCGTAGAGTCGCAGGCTACCCCCGTCCAACTCTTCAAGGGGTCAGACTTGTTCCCGCTTTCTGCCACACTCTTCCATCCCAATGGGTTGTAATTCATCAGCTTGTTTTCTGAAAAGGATCAATTTCTCCTTGGATTTCTGTATTCGCGGTCCTCCTGACGTCAAGGCCGATTATGGCCAGCAACCGGCTGCGTCACTGCGTGGCGGTGGAAAATAAGGCTTTCCTTCAGTGAGAATGAACGCTGGAGCCCTTATATGCTTCCATGCAACCGAGCGCAATGTTCATTAGTGCCGCTTAGATAGGTTTCCATAGACTCTCTTCGACCGACGACGACCGAAGAGAAGGCAAGATCAACAGAGCTATGAACCCCAACAGACTCCAATCGCAGCAACAAAGGCCCGGCGTGAAGAGGGGTGTTCTGGGAAGTTTGTCTGCAGCTTCAGCGGCAGCCTACAACTTTCTTGCTCACGACTTTGAATTTGTGCCGGACCGGTATCATGACGACAAGTTCTTTCCCACACGGCTATCTCGGGCGGGATCTAGTATCCGACTCGGTCGCGCTCGCGGCCGGAACAACTATCCACTGAGACCGCCGCCCATTCGGAAGAGGACATGGCAGAAGGATGCAAACGGGGAGTTGCGCAGCAAATCATTCGAGGACTCGCAGTTCAGTCACCCATACGATGAAGCACGCGGAGGAAACGACCGAAACCCGTTTGACGACGCCAATGAGGTGGAAGAACAGGACGATGAAGCCGACGAGGACGAACCGTACCACGTCTTTCCGAAGCGACAAAAATGGCTGGTCATTGTGATCATTGCTACAGCCGGCCTCTTCAGTGGGTTGTCATCCAATATCTACAACCCGTCTCTTGATGCCGTTGCGCAGGTAAGACTCGGCCCGTTCCAGCGGTAATGGTGAGAGCGAGGGTGATGCTGACGCTGATTGTTATTACTCGCAGGACCTCAAAGTCAGCTCTTCGCAGGTTTCCCTGACAATCACGTCTTACCTTATCATGCAAGCCGTGTCTCCTCTCCTATGGGGACCCATGTCAGACACATTGGGCCGGAGGCCGACATACATAGCCTCCTTTGCAGTCTACATAGGCGCCAACGTCGCGCTTAGCTTCTCACCGAATTATCCGGTGCTGCTCATCTTCAGGGGTGTCCAGGCCGCAGGGAGTGCGTCAACTGTCAGTATCGGTAAGCTGCCATAGTCTCCGTTTCTCCCTTCGACTACCCAATTTGGCAACTAACGGCAGTTCCAAGGCAATGGAGTCATTCAGGATATCTCGCCGACTTCCGAAAGGGGTGCATTCATTAGTTTCTACCAGGCCAGTAAGTCTAAGTTGTCAACATGCTACACCATGAACTGACACAACTGCAGTTCGAAACTTCAGCACAGCGATAGGTCCCGTACTAGGCGGCGCCTTGGCTAATTCACTTGGCTTCCGCTCAGTCTTTGTCTTCTTGCTCATTGCCTCGACGCTTATTATCATTGCAATCATTGTGTTTCTTCCCGAGACAATGAGAAGCATCGCTGGCAATGGTGCAATCAGACTTAAAGGTCCAGTTTACAAGCCTTTGATCAGGTACATCAGGAAAGAGCCTAGGTACATGCAAGATCCAGACGGTCCTCTGAATTCCAACAAAGTCACTATCTGGACGTTTCTCAGACCCTTCAGACTGTTCAGGGAGAAGGATCTTGTCATCAACCTCATCTGGGGTGGGTTCGTCTACGCTATCTGGAACATGGTTACCACCAGCACCACACCCGTTTTCAAAGCACGGTTCCCTTTCCTGAACGAGCTGCTCTTGGGTGTGGCATTCTTACCCAACGGTAAGTGGGGACTCACACTCCAACCCTTCCCTCAGCTGCAGCGAATCCCAACGCTTCTCTCGGCTGAGGGAAGCACGTATCAACTCGACTGACATATCATGTGCAGGCTTCGGGACCATTGTCGGCTCTGTCTTGGCCGGGAAGCTGTTGACCCGGGATTACAAGGCCATTTCGGCCGAATACAAAGCAACGCATAACATGAGGGAGGACGAAGAGTTGTCCCCAAAGGATATGCCGCCAGACTTTCCCCTTGAGAAGGTTCGCTTACAACGGCTTCCGTGGATAGTGGCATTATTCACCGCGTCCATCACCGGCTACGGATTTTCCTTGGCATATCCCGCGGCGACATCTCGACCCGGGTGGATAGCTCTCCCCCTCGTGTTGCAATTCCTCATTGCAGCCTCGGCAAACGCCATATTTGCTCTCAATCAGACAATCATCTCGGACCTTTGTCCCGGACAAGGTGCGAGTGCAACAGCCATCAACAACTTAGTGCGATGTGGTCTTGCCGCCTTGGGCGTGGCCTTTGCGGAACAGATGATTAACGCTGTGGGACCGGGGACAGCATTCCTGGTGTTGGCTTTGGTGGTCATAGCCGTGTCGCCCATCCAAGTTCTCAACCAATACAGAGGGCCCAAATGGCGGGCGGACAGGGCAAGGAGAGGCGGCTCAAAGGCCACTGCGGCCGTGGAGGATCGACAAAAAGCTTAGGTACGGGTCTGGCATGACGCGAAAATATTTGGAGCGTTTGTCTGCAATCACATTGGGAATCATATTGGACGAAGCGAGCATATTCAGCATTGTTAGAATTCACACGACACAGATCATTACATGAAATACCATCATACAGACCATGGGGTGTCGAGCATAACCCAATGATATCCATGGCTAAGATACACTTGTTGGTAGAACTGAATACTATTTCTGTAGATCTCTCAAATTCTATCTACACTGAAGTCATTGCAGCGAGATTGACTCCAGCTCTAATTCATATGAGATATCATAGGACCCTCCATGAGCTGGAGTAGACTTCCGCCTTGTTGCCAGGCGTTGTCATCCACTGCCATCACAATCGAAGTCAACCTCGCACGATCATCTAAATGATCCTTCATGATCAACATACCCATATTTCTGGCGAACGATTCGACTGGGGTAAGCCCTCCACCAAGACAAATCTTATGGCAATCATTTCCGCTGAACACAGTTTAGAGTTGCCCAGGGGGCGATCTTGTGCGTTGCAGGCCGTCTGGTGTTTGCGTTGAAACACGGGACCCGGGTCCTGTAGCCAAGGAGATCCCGGCAGTAAAGCATCCCAAACCAACATCGGTGGTCCGTACTCAATGCCTGGCTGCCGCATAGGTTTCCCAAAGCGGTGGGCATTGGCGCCACTCGTCGTTCGCCGAAAGTCGCATTCACGTGGCATCTCGGCTATTTGGCATTGTCATATTTGATAGATTAGACAGCTCCTGTCAGATGGAGTACGGAGAAATTTGAAAAGAGCCGGTCGCCGGAGTCACGGCAGCGCTAGGGCTGCAGGATTCGGCATGCTCATGTCAGTTTGACAGATGCAACTGCCGTCTTCCGTACCCGGTGTGTTGAAGGATTCCAACCCGACCTGCTTACCTGTGAAGGTCGGTTCTACCGCTACTCTATTCTATAGCATAGCCTTTTAATCTTGGCCGCTTCCGCGAACCAAGCGGAGCAGCCCGCCCTCTTCCAAAAGTCTACTGGAACTGAACTGCAGATCCCACGCTCACAGACCGTGGGTCTGAGCTGGTGAGACTAGGACATCCCTGCGGCGCGATTGAACCCTATGATCTTCTTGAGCGGCTGTTTTATCTGGCTAGCCAATCTATCTGAATCTGGACTGACGGACAACTTACATCAGCCGCTAGAACGTGTCGCGAAAGGACGAAGATCCAGCAGCAGTATGGGCTGAGAAGCTTAGTCAAACTCTGCTGGCTTCGGGTCCAAAGACCCGGGAAGTATGTCGACGATAATAGGGCATGTCTCGCAAGTTGTTCTTCTTAAGAACTGGCCGGAATACAGAGGTGTTTCCGGCGATTATTCTGATATTCCGGTCCCTTTCGGAATTATCCGACCCCGATTGAGTTGTGTAAAGTCTGGTTCGTGATTCAATGAAGGGCATGGCGACCAAGATAGAGGTGCGAGCTCGTGTGATTGATTCACTGTCTGGGCTGCGACCATTCGAGACCATCTTATTGATTCACTAATGAAGGGCGTGATGTATTTAAGGAAGGGAACTTGTGATATGTTTCTGGTTTTCGTTCTAAAAATAGACACTTCAAAATCATCAAGACTCTGCAAAAGCAAGTTCCATGATCAAAAATGATCGACTTCATGCCTCTCCCAAGGTCTGACAACTATGACGTGAACGGGGCAAGATATCTCATTCACTTTTCATTCCCAGAGGACTCCGAAAGGTGGCATGTCAAATGCATGAATCTTGCAGCACTTGCTAAAGATGATCCGGATTGGGGATGGGACACGTCCGATCCTCTGCCCGACGGGAAGTTTGCAAGTATAGAACGAGGACTCGAGCAACTAAAAATGAACGACATCAGCATCAACATCAGAGATGACTCAGAAGATGTCGTGTTGATTACAGGCTTTGACGATGCTTACAGGGCCAGGCAGAATGCAAATATGAGAGTACCGGATCTCGATGACGATATCGCAGAACTGCTTTCTCAATTTCGATTCATCGCCTTCTTCTTCTATGAGGTCGAGTTGCTCACTGCTGTTACTCACTACTGCCAAGGAGACTTCGAGTTTCCCGGTAAGAACTTCGCGAAATTTGTGAAAAGAACACCACAGCCTGGCCACAGCCTGCAAGAATGCGTCGCCCCTGGCAAAAGACAGCACATCATCATCTACTTCAGCCACAAAAGCTATGAGAATATCTCAAGATCGACAATCGGTCTATTCGACAGATACGACATGGAGCAAGACCCAGCGTTTCTCTTCATGAGTGAGTACGCGTCTAGTTATGATGCGTGTGCTTCCGAGTCACGAGCGCGTGGGGAGTTATTACCTCAACTACTTTTCGGGCTGGATGATGATGCTTCTGATGACGAGGATGTTTCTTCGTTGGGGCAGGACATCGGAATTCTTGACCGTGGTGACGTTCCTGGACAGTAAGTATGGGTTAGTAGGAGAAGAAATGGTTGGACTTAGGATATATCCAGACAGATAGTGAATCAAAGCCATCATAGATGGAGTATCTCACCTTAGCCAGTAAACATCCCATGATGGACGTAGATCTGTCCATGTTTCTTCATTTTCGGTCGGATCATGATCCTCGAGAGTATGTCGTAGTACCTCGGTCTCAAAGCTCATACACACAGCATTTCTCTTCAGAAATGGCGAGTATTTCTCTCAGAGTTCCCTACTCACACATTGGGAATCTATCTCACATTCTCTAGCAAAGATTCCAGTATAATACCTCAAGAATAGACAGATTCCATGACACATGCTGGCGGACAGGTCATGTATGAGCTTTTCTGAGACGCAAAAAGCTTATGTATAATATTTGATGTTTCTGATATCTAAGTAGCGTGTCTGTTCCATTGACGGATCATATTAGGCCTGCGGCGATACAGGCAGATGAGACCCGTGGAATCATTATAAGTCCCTGTCTACACATGGAGGATGCCGAATTAAATACCAGAAACCATTTACAATCATCTTCCATCCTCATGATGTCCAATACTCAGTTGTTCTGTAAGCCTTCTCCAGTGTTATACCGGCAGACATCGTCCCCCGAGCATCGATGCCGTCACGGCGGACAAGCACCTTTTTCTCTACGTCGAAACAATTATCGACGTTAGTCAGAGAACAAAGGTCATACAGCCTCTTGAATGTCATATCACAATATTTTCCTTCTCTGAGAGAAACGACATCCCATCCGTCAGAAGTTGTACTGTTGCATACAAGTGAGGCTTCATGGCCTTCGGCTTCTGTCACGATGAGATGGCTGGGATCGCGGTTGGATCCTCGCCGCTTGCTGAGAACATTCTCGGTGCGGTTCTGCGCAGGCTCTGGGATAGAACGCCGCAGCTCCTTGATCGTTTTGATGCTCTTGATCTGAGGCCTGGTGTAGACGCCTTTGTCCCATACGACTCTGTCGACAGCCAATTCAGGACTTTTGTCGCAGCCCTCCAGCCCGGTTTCCTTGTCCACATCATACTGAAGCGGTGGCTTGAAGAATGGAACAGTCCCATCAGGTTCGAGACGTCGCCACCAGCCGAATCGTGGAGTGCTCCTGCAAAGGTACTTCTGCTGATCCTTGCGGTACATCTGGATCTTGGAAGGTGTCCCGAGCATGTCGTTTACGTGGAAACTGATAGACCGAGGATAGTTGTCGACGATACCGCCAGAACTCATATACACGCACTTTGGGTATTTGTCCCCAACTTTGCGCTGGCTGAGAAACCACTTTGCGCCGCAGTACATGGCGAGATCGCCGTACCATGTGGCACTGAGTTTGCCGTTGGAGACCTGGACAGCTGAGATGCAGATAGTCTCGGAGTACAACTGTGATATCATCACGTATTGCGCTGTTGCCATTGGGTCCCTATTCTGGGTGTGTGGGATCTTGTAGATGTTGTCATCGGGGTCGTTGCTAACCGGTAGCTTGTCCCTGTTGTCCTCGACCCAGTGTTGGCCGATTCTTCTTCCGCCGTCGTCCCAGAGTGAGATGAAAGGCTCAGAACCCGACGCTTCCAAGTTGGCGCCATCTCCAGTGACAATTGTTATCCAGGTTTCGGGTATGTGTTTGTCGGGAATGCCGGCATCGTGTGACCACTTGAACGGCATGATGAGGTTGTCTGGCCCGAAGAGAAATCCTAGAATACGGGCTCCGGCGGCGAGGTTAACGTTGACCATTCTGGATATTGCGGAAGGAGAAAACCATGATCATAATCACCGGGGCAGGGGCTTGATGGCGTTTGGGCTTGAGATGTCGGGTTTCGGGCTTCGTGGGCAAAAGGGGGAGCAGGGCAGCCACAGCCTTTGGTCAAGATTCTCATAGCTGACTTTATATCATGCAATTTTCATTCACGTTGGGTTTTGAAAGATCGGGAGATTTATCCAAGAGGGATTGTTGGTGGAACCGACGTGTAACGGCAGTCTCCCTACGATGAATGTGGTCGTTACATTGCTTTGTTGACTCGCCCGTCTTCGGGTGCCAACATAAAGTGAGATACGCATGCGTCTCGACACGAGTATTTGGCGTTCTACAGTCCCAAACATGGTAACATCTACGGACCAGGACTTGTCTCCCAGCGGTAACAACGTGAGGGAGGTTTTCGTACTGAAGCTCTCTCTTGAACAAACGGCGGGTTCGCAAACGCGATACATGTATCCACAAAGCTTCATTCTGCACGCAACTCATTCGCAAATAGCGTCAAGCCATTTCACCAAGGACTCAGGTACTGAAATTGAACCGTATTCGTTTTGGACTGTGAACGTGAGCAAGCTTGCCTCGGCAAGAACAAAGTCTTAACATGGGGGCCGGAGTATCTTGCCGCCTTGCGATGCAAGTTTCACTGGTAGTCTCTTATCAGTAAGTTGCGTGGGATCAACGTTGTGTTGTGCATGTGCTGTATGCGTCCCTTTATTGAACCCCAGTTCCGCAGCATGGCAGCCTGATAACGTGTTACTACATCCGCTTGAGCTGGTTGTGCTTGCTGACTCTATCCTAGGATTTATGGAATTTCTCACATCAATAGGACTATTTTGTGTGGGAAATCCCATCACTCGAAGGTTTAAGCCGACTATGACGCAGGATTCTGTCAGAATATTGTTCTGGCACATATCGCTAGGTCATTTCTAACAGCTTTAGAGGCGACATTCGTTGCTAGGTGTTCCTGATCTTGTGAAAGAAGAAGCACGTCTTCGGGGCTTAACAACCAAAAGGCTATTGCTTCAAGCTTAAGCTTGATGAGTAAACTAGTCGCCTCCTTCGTTGCCATCCACGAGCGCACCAATGATGTAGTTTGGAGGCATACATTATTCCCGCTATGGAAGTCTTTCGGCGGAAAGCGGTAAACGCACGAGGCAGCTCGGTTGCCGACTTTGCACTGAGCCTTTCAAAATCTTTGGATGGCATTGCGTCTAAGGGCCAAAGTGTTTAGTGTGGTCAGCAAGCGCCAACTCCACGCCTGGAAGCTTTCAAATGGGGCAACAAGGTGAGATGGCGAGACCGAGGTCTCCGCCAGTGACAATGGCATTAGGCAAGCAAACATTCTCGTGCGAGCGTGACTAATGCCAAGATGCAACGGCCGTTTCTTTGTCGTGAGCGTTCTATTTTCATTCTGAGAAACACAGTGGAACGACGATGGCTTGGCCCAACGCACCGTGTTTGAAGAATGTCTGGCCATAGCTATCCCTCTGAAGAGTATTGCACTTCGCGAGGGCTATCTCATACCGGGAAGAAGATCTCAGAGCCAGACATGGCGAGCCGTCTTGATCGTACGTAACCCTCATAAAACGATTGTGAAAAACTAAATCAGCGACTCGTCGACGAATGTGGCTATGTCATTGGCCCGGGCGTGTGGCCACACACATCAACGCACCCCATACGAGAACGAATCTGCTTCAGGAACAAACTTTGTAACCGTGCCTCGCGGCGTTGAAACTTTTTAACCTGCATAAGAAGTTTGCTTAACGGCAATAAGCTTCAGAGTATTTCTCCGCTAGCCAGGGGCCGGAAACGACCGAGAGGGGCCAACCATGTCACGATGAGGCACCAAAGGGTTAGAACGACCAACGATCGCAGGTCATAAATCATGAATTTTCTGAAATCGTACCTATGTACACAGTACCGAGTTTCCCCCTATTTCCGGCCAAAGCCATCCCATACCACACCAGGCACCGTCAACCCCTTATTCGTCACAATTCGGTATTAAACCACCAGAAAGAGTTACCGAGTTAAAAGGTTTAGATTGATTACCCACGAGCAATGAAATGACCGTTATCGATTTGAATCCAAGCTGTCTGTTCCCGTGTGATCGCTATCTCCGTAGTGTACGCTAAAACTCAATTCCCTGCACAAAGTGACTCGTCAACACAAATTCACTCGGCTTGGTTTCTCGACGGAACGGCAAGGGGCAGACCCGCCGCTCCAGCCGGCTTCGGGGGAGGGGCGACACCAGGCTTCGGAGGCTGCGTGCCGGGCTTGGGGCCCTGAGCACCGCCAATGAGAGCACCGGCCTCGATGGCTCCCGGCGGTGCGGGAGCCGGGCTATTTGGGTCGGAGCCTTTCTGCGGCGCGGGAGCAGCGGCCGGTGGTGGCGGCTGCTGGTTAGGTGTCGCTGGGGTGTTGCCCGGCTTGGGCTTGACACCACCCGCAGCAGCACCACCAGCAGCAGCACCACCTCCGACCAACGCCCCGGCCGCGACGGCTCCGGCGGGAACGGGAGCGGGTTGGTTGTTGTTTGGTGGAGGCTGTTTACCTTTAGTAGCGCCAGCTGCGGCAGCACCTGCGTTGGCAGCACCAGCACCAGAGGCCTTCTTCGGAGCGCCTGCGGGAGGAGCGGCTGGGACAGCGGCGGGCGGTACGGCGGCAGGAGGAGCGGCGGGCGGAGCAGCTGGTGGAGGAGCAGCCGGAAGAGGCGGGTTGCTGGCCTTGGCTGGAGGAGTCGTCGCCTTCGCCTTCGCCTTAGCCTTCGCCGGGGTGGCGGCCTTCGCAGCCTTCTTCGCGGCCTTCTTGGCCTTCTTCGCCTTCTTCTTCTTCTTCTTGCCGAGGACCTTCTTGAGCAGGCCTAGCAGCTGACGGGTCTGGAGCTCGGTGTCGTCACCGCCGCGGGCGGCCAATGCAGCATTAGGCTGTTCAACAGCGGCTACATCGCGACCATTGATCTGGGGAATGTCGGCCTGGGGACCGAGTTCACTGGTTGTGTTAGTGACCTGTGACCTGTAACCTCCGTCACGTATGCCTACTTGAAGTCTCCTCTGGCAACGTCCGTTCCAGCTGGGGCACCGTTGATGCCGACCAGAAGGGCCGAGGCGAGCAGGAGTAGGGGAGTTGAGAACCTCATCGTAGTGAGTGAACTAAATATTGACTAATAGTATGATGAAAGAGAGATGAAGTGTCTTTGACCAAGTCAAGCTTGGTGGCTCAGTGGGAAGATTTTCTCGTATCTGCAATGCCTTGGGGGTGGGCGTGAACTGAGGGACCTGCCTGCTCCTCCAAACTGGAAATTGGGTTGGGCCATCTTCCTTTAGTAGTTTCTCTGAATGGCCTCGACTGTGTATTGCTGTCAGGGATACTCTACCCTCGTCCAAACCTTGGGCGAAGTCGTCCACACTATCCCAACATGCGGGTGTGCCGATCGATTGGTCGCGATTTCAGATTAAAATTCGCCGGAAGGACGACTCGCGAGTCTCTGAAACCAGTAATCGCAACTGCAGAGAAAAGAGAGATGCCAAAGTTCACCGGTTCGAAGTGCCCGACCCCGCGTGGATTCGCGCCTCCGCATGTTGCCGGATCGACGGGGACGGGGATACCACCTTGCATTGGAGTTTGTTATGGATCAGCGCAGATGAAGGCATTGCCCTGCGTCGCCCGATATCCTGACTTATTCGGGCGAAGTGGCGTTTCGCTGTGGTGTTTCGGGGGTGGGGAGGCTCTCCTCGTCTGATGTCGACGATAGGCAAACTCCTGCAGGAGGAAGCGAGAGATATCGATTCGTCCCATCTGATGTCGTTTCAGTCCCCCTTCATTGGTGGTGTGCCTGAAAGGCGAAGCTCCTCACAGTCTTCGGCAAGCGGAGCCCTGGTCTTAAGCTTACATAGGGCACGATGTTGCGAGCGACCGGGGCATCCAGGCAGGGGGATGGTGGCCATTGTGGAGGGGAGCCAACTGGCGGTTCGACTTCGCCCGATGCAGGCTGGAGGCTTCGGGAACCTTGCACCTCTCGACCTTTCCCTGATTCTGACGATAGTTGGAAGTTAGGTTTGTGTTAGTTCCACTTCGAAAACGTTTTGGAAGTCAGAGGGCGCGCTGCGTGGCCTGGGTCTTGGTTGGCCACCTGCAGGCTGGGAAGTTATTCATCGTCTGCCGAAAAAACTAAACTTCTCAGCCCATGCGTGGGAGAAAATTGTATTCGCCCGGATCCATCTCGTCCTAGAACCCACGTTGTCCCTCGCGCGGGCGCGCGGAGAAAGGGGGAGAGATCAAGGGCAGCATAGTTGGATTAGCTTGCGGCTCTAAGCAAAGTTTTGCCTTTGCTCACGCAATGTCAATCTTGCGTCACGTACGAGGCAAAATCGACGTCGACTCCATGATGCGAACTCCACGTCGTTGGCAATCCCATATACACAATCGCGAACAGTGCTTCCTTGAACGTCAAGCGATGCTCACAACGGTGACAGCTGCCGTGTGGAACGACAGTGGGTTGCTTCAGATGGCGTTGAGAGAAAGCGCAGCATCTCGTAGCGAACCGCAGTGCAACAACAGACAGGAGACAGTCAGATGACAAGACCGGCGCTCATTCCTGTTCTCATGCGGATGCCGTGGCAGTTCCATTCGCAGTTGAGACGGCAAAGCAGGTGTCCGCTCACGGACGTGCCTCGGAGACCAGCAGAACATGGCACGACCCGTGTGTGGTGGCCCAGGTGCGGTGCATGAGTGCGCGGGCAGGCATGGCGCGAGTTCATGTGTGTCCGACGGTGCTCTCCCAGCGGCTTGGGATGCGCCCACCGGGATCGACGCCAAGCGAAAATCGTTTCATGCGCCTGTTCGAACGAGGGAGGATGGGCAACTATGGCCGACAATGGCTTGCCAAGACTAGGTGTTTGGGACTCTTGCATGGGGTGATGGGTGATAATGGGAGGCTGTCTTGACTTATGCGGAACGAATGAGCGTATCAAAAGACAGGATGTTATTTCTGGCGGATATGCAGGTACGGCGACGATGGTCCAGTGATATTCGGTGCTTTGTGATCTCGTGTGTATGTTTATTCGTGAGTGAGGCGGCTGTCGTGTGCGAACAGAGTTTACGAGGGCTGTCGCGGCTGTTCCGTCGCATCTCTTCGCCTCGGGGCGGAGATCTCGGCAGTCCCAATAAGCAAGTCATTGGGGCTCCCGCTTCAACACACACCGCGAGGATGTCTCCGCGCAGAAACGCATCCCACGGCAAGGCAAGGACCTGTCGCAGCATTGTGAGAGTAGAGCCCTTGGAGAATCAGCATGTGGTCCAGGCCCCCGACTCTACACAGCCACATATGCATATTCGGCGGGGAACGTTTGTTTGCACGTGTGAAAAGACCCCGGCGGATGTCGCTATTTTCAGGATTAAACATGCTCAATTAGATGGGTCCATGATCTCCCAATCGGATCTAGCCAAGCTCTGGGCTCAATCTCGTTACCAAAAGAAGGGTCTCTCAGAGGTGCATGACTGAGTCAACGAAGGCCTGGAGATGGTTATGTCATGGCGTCCGAGAGCGAGCTGCTGCTGACGTACGCACGTCAGGCACGAATAAGGGCAGGAAAACTGGTCCGTGAGGAAGTGAAGGCATCACGAGCCATTTGCCATGATGACATACGCAGTCCGAAGGTTCCGACCGCGAGATTCTGGCGTCCGGAGATGAGCCGGAGTTGGTCCGAATCCACCGGCCGGAGTCCTTGCCGCCCGGAGGTACGTACCGGTCTCCACCAACGGAGTTTCCCCCGCAAGTCACCGGAGGGCAGTCTTCTCTTCCCCGCGCCATCCTTCTCAGTCCCCATCAGCTTGGTAAGACACTTGGCTCGGTATTCTGTACAACTCTCGCGCTCAATAATCACCCGCATCCAATTGCTACCGATAATAGAGCTGTGCTGAGGACCTGTCTCTCCGCCCATGCTGCATGTAACCGAACCACTTCCCAATTATTTACGTCATGACTTTTCTCCCCCGGCTCTTATCAGAATGAGCTGCCTGTCCGGGTCGAGGACGCAATCAATCTGTGCCGGCTCAAGCTACGCGATCCCCGGAACTGCTTATCACTCGCTTGCCGTTGTCGGTGCCGTACCGAGAGAGACACTAAACCACGCGATGCACCGGTAAACCGTGCTAGACATGCAGGACGAGATTGGCCTGACCGGGATATCAACATGCATTTATATGTGCTCGCGTCCAAGTTATGGTCCAAGCAACCTCAGGAGCCCGTGAAGCATCACTCAACACCAAGCCAATTGAGCTGGTCCCAAATCGCCGACACTTGCCTCCCTCTCCTCACCCTCAAACATGGCTATGCAGCGGCCGTTTCTGGCCGTGGCTCTGATCTGGCTGAGATTCGCCAGCATCGTCAGCTGCTTGACTGGTGCGTGTCGGCCGACCAGTCACCTGTCTCACGTTCGTGAATTGACTTTCGTCTCAGTCAAGGGGACCCCGTTCCCGAGTCTCATTGATGTTACCATCGATGAGCTGGCGGAAGGCCTGGAAAACGGCCTCTTCACCAGTGTCGATCTTGTGAACGCCTATCTCGGGCGCATCGGCCAAGTCAACAGCACCTTGAATGTCGTGACGGAGGTTAACCCCGACGCGGTCTCCATCGCAGCGGACTTGGATGCCCAGCGGGCCAACGGCACTATCAAGGGACCGCTTCATGGGATTCCAATCCTCATCAAAAACAATATTGCGACGGCTGACCAGATGAATAACACTGCCGGATCGTGGGCTCTAGTTGGCGCCAAGGTTCCCCAGGACAGCTTCATGGCGAAGAAGCTTCGTGAGGCTGGAGCGATCATTCTGGGCAAGACAAACCTCAGCCAGTGGGCAAACTACAGAAGCAACAATACCAGCAACGGCTGGTCTGCTTACGGCGGACAGGTTTATGCGGCCTACTACCCGCAGCAAGATCCCAGTGGAAGCTCGAGTGGCAGCGGAGTGGCATCGGACTTGGGACTTGCCCTCGCAGCGCTGGGTACTGAGGTTTGTTATCATTGAGTGAATGATTTCTCGTAGCTCAGACTGACAACATGCAGACTGACGGTTCGATTGTCTCCCCTTCACAACGCAACAACCTTGTGGGGATCAAGCCCACAGTCGGCCTGACTTCTCGACATCTCGTGATCCCCATCAGCGAGCACCAGGACGCCATAGGACCGATGGCCCGGACGGTCAAGGACGCAGCTTACATCCTCCACGCCATTTCCGGTGCAGATCCCAAGGACAACTACACGTCTGCAATCCCCAACAACGGCGAGATCCCCAACTACGCAGCCGCTTGCGACATGTACGCTCTTCGCGGCGCTCGCATCGGCATTCCGCGTAACGCCATAGAGCTCTTCTCCGACAACACCACCGGCACGGAGACTGATGCCTTCGAGGCAGCCCTTGAAGTCTTCAAATCAGCCGGTGCGACCATAGTCGACAATGCCAATTTCACCGCGGCAGCCCAGCTAGCTAACTCAACCTCGGAGACAATCGTGTTGAACGCAGACTTCATCACCAATCTCGCAGCCTACTTGGCCGAGCTCAGCTTCAACCCCAACAACGTGACATCCCTCGCGGATGTCCGCAAATTCACGCAGTCGTTCGGTCTTGAGGACTACCCAGACCGCAACACGGCCATCTGGGACGACGCCCTGGATGTGCAGGGCTTCAATAACACCGACCCGCGGTTCTGGGCCGCGCTGCAGGAGAGCAACTACCTCGGCGGCGAGGGCGGCCTGCTTGGTACTCTGGAGAGGCACAAGCTCGATGCTGTGATCCTGCCGACGAGCTTCTCCAGCACCTGGGCGGCCATCATCGGGGCGCCGGTCGTGACGGTCCCGCTTGGGTTCTACCCGGCGAACGCGACGGTTATTAAGAATCGAAGGGGCAATCTGGTTGACACTGGCCCGCACGTTCCGTGAGTATATCGATGGAATATTAAGCGCTTTCTCATTAACTGACAGATGTTAGGTTCGGGATCAGCTTTCTTGGGGCCAAGTTCCAGGAGGCGAAGCTCATCGGGCTGGCGTACGCCTATGAGCAGAGGACGTTGACCAGGTCCAAGGTCCAGCCGTACATCACGCCGAACATTGAGATTGGCGACTATGCTGGGTACTAATTGAAGTTTGTCCGGCTGTTAAGGGGTTACCTGTACAAGATCATGACTGTACTTCTATTCTGCAGTGCTCACGGATACCATGAAGCCGTTGGAGATACCTACTGCATGCGGCCGGCAAGCTACCGGACCTTTTTCAATGTATATTTGAGCGTGCAATACAGCACAACATTGTATATACAGGACCGGAATCTTGTGCAACGATACTCATCAAAAGAAAAGGTCCATGAAGCAAGGAGGGGTGCCGCGAACACTCCGAACCGTCCGCGGCCCGTGTCCCCACTCGGCACCGAATGGCCGGCCCGGTCGTCTGAGGCCTGGTCCGTCTTCACAGATGAGAAATCGCGTTTGAGCGTACATATTTTCTATAATGATGTGAATCGGAGTTGCGCTATGTGGCCGTGTTACATCGCAGCCTACGTTCTTCTACTATTTCAAGCCCAGCCACGTCCAATCTTTGGAGGTTCATCCCACACTATGAAAAGTCTGGTGTATGCTTCGAAAAACACGTCCTAATATTGGAGTGCTGTTCATGAGAACCAGGTCTACTTAGGTTTGCAAGAATCTTGTTAACGGCATATGTTTAACAGAAGCGGTAAAAGTAGCAAAAGCAGTCTTCCTGATTACCTGGTGATCGAGCCACAGCCTCCGGAGAGTGCAAAAGGAAGGGCAGTGCCGTGAAAGAGAACCAAAAAAGCAAAAGAATTGATAGCACAACCTGGTTTCGATCCAGGGACCTCTGGGTTATGAGCCCAGCGCTCTACCCCTGAGCTATTGTGCTTGAAGGGTGGTTGCTGAACTTCGTTCCAGTCACATACATAAAGGGTTGAGGGTGTGACTCATCGTGCGGTGGAGAGTATTCCCCACGCTAACTCAACACAGACAAAAACAAATTTAAAGCCGATGATCTCCGAAGGGCAGTGTCAATGCATTTCTCGTCTTTTAAATCACATCCAATGCATTTCACCGTCAAATTTTGAAGAAATTATTATGCGCAAAATCATGATGCTTGGTCTAGATTGGGATATCTATGGAATGACTAGGCGGACCAAATCGCCTTGGTATATTCGCAGGACATGATATTCAGAACGACAGTAAAACACCCTTTTTCTTTCTCCCGTTTACAGCAGCCACGAGACGAAGACTCTGTAGAACCATCCACCGCGGCTCTCCTTGCCGCCGCGAGCCTCCTGCTCGGCAGCCTGGCGGGCCAGGAACTCCTCCTCCTCACGGTCAATGATGTCCTTGCCGGTGTAGAAGTCGGCCTCGTGGGGCTTGACGCCGCGGGTCTTGTAGTAGAACTTGTGGCCGAAGATGAGGATGAGGTAGAGCGGGATGCCGAGGTAGCCGGTGATGAAGGTCTTGTACTTCTCCTTGCCGAAGTCGCCGCCGGTGAAGACGTCGTAGTTCTTGGTGAGGGCGACGATGCAGCACATGGCCAGGGCGGCGTAGGAGCCCCAGATGCCGAGGGGAGCGACGTAGGGCATGATCTCGTTGGGGATGTTCTGTGCCTTGCGGGCCTTCATCCACCAGATGTGGGTGACGAGGATGGAGATCCAGGTGAGCAGACCGAAGATGGTGGTCAGGTTGACGAAGTAGCCGAAGATCTTGGTCGAGTCGCTGGAGACGTTCATGAAGGCGAGGAGGGCGAACATGGCAGAGAAGCCGAGCGCGTAGACGGGGACGCCGCGCTTGTCGGTGCGCTTGAAGATGGCGGGGGCGGAGCCCTCAGATGCGAGACCGTAGAGGGTTCTGCTGGCGATGTACAAGTCGGAGTTGGACGCGGAGAAGACGAAGACGCAGATGCAGGCGTTGATGATGTGAGGGACGACCTTGACGCCGGCAACCTGGGCAGCAACGACGAAGGGGGAGGCGGAGGCACCGGTAGATTGCTTGTTGGCGAAGGCGAGCTCGGGGGAGTTGTAGGGGACGAGCATGCCGATGAGCAGGACGCTGAGGCAGTAGAAGAACAGGATACGGTAGAAGGTCAGCTTGATGGCGCGGGGAACGGTCTTGCGAGGGTTCTGGGCCTCGGCGACAGTGACACCGACAAGCTCGGTACCGAGATAGGCGAAGGTGGCGTTGACCATGCAGGACCAGAAACCGAGGAAGCGGCCGGCATCACCGGTGTCGATGTACTCCTTGAAAGCACTGGAGACGATGTTAGCGAGGGGACACTGCGAACTGCGTCGAGCACAACACATACCCAGGATCCTTCCAGTAGCGGAAGCCGGTCGCTTCGCCGTTGGGTCCACCACCGCAGACGAGAATCAAAGAGAAGAGAATGATGGCGACGATGACGATGACCTTGAAACTGGACAGCCAGAACTCGAACTCGCCAAAGAACTTGATGCCGAAGTAGTTGATGCAGATGATGACGACCAGGAAGATGGCGATGAAGACACCGGGGTTGACTCTATCGCGGTCAACCCAGTATTGGATGACGAGGGCCGCGGCGGTAAGCTGGTTGGGCGTGACGATGATGTACTTGAACCAGTAACTGTTTGTGACGCCCATTAGCACTCTGCCCGAACGGTTGCCGCGGGGAACATAGCAGGAGAGACTCACGTCCAGCCGAGCGCAAAACCAAGGGAAGGGTCGCAGAATCTCGAGGCGTAACCAGTGAAACCAGAAGAGATGGGCAGCCAGGCGGCCATCTCACCGAGACCAGCCATGACGAGGAAGACGATGAAACCGACGAGAGTGTACGAGATGAAGACGGAGCCCGGGCCGGCCTGCGCGAGGGCCTTGCCGGTTCCGATGATGAGACCGGTTCCGATGGCACCACCGATGGCAATCATGGTGATGTGACGGGCCTTGAGGCCTCTCTCCAGCTTGGTGTCGGCGCTGGTCTCGAGACCGCGGATGTGGACATTTTCGGTGTCGTCGTAGGTCTTGGTCTGGAAGGCCGTCTTCTCGGGGTCGTGGGCGCCCTCCGAAGAGGACGTCCGCTTGACGAGGCCGTCGCTCATGGTTGCGGCGTGAAGAACGACGAGTGGTGGTTCTTCTTACACGTCAAACACGGGAGTGAGACTCTCTTGTCTGTGGGAGAGGGATATCAAAAGAGGGTCTCGATTGGGCAGACAAGAGCTCAAGGAGCGAGAGAGGGATGAGAGGAGAGAAGTGGGAATCACGACCGAGCAGTGAGGGGGGGATTGGAGGTTCTTTAATTAAGTTCTGGGTGCCGCCTCGACGGGACGGAAGACGGGGGGGCGGACGCGATAGAGGCGTGTACCGCATGTGAGACGGAAGCACATTGGGACTGGCATCCGGCGCACCGCACCACAACCTGTGTCCCTCCCGTTCCCGCATGTAAGAGCAGCAGAGCTCACCTCACGTCCGAATTCCCAAATTCGCCTCGCGGGTTCGTGGGCTGGACCTGGAACCTGGCCACACTAGCTTGGTCTTGGGGGTGATGGAAGACTGGGGGTGCGGCCGGGTTGGCGTCGTACGCTAAGATAGACCCCGTCGAGCGATCCCTGCAGACACCGCCGGGTTGTGTTGGGTTGACTGGCTGCCACGGCGAGGTACCGAACGGTCCTGACTTGTATGTATTACATGTAGGTTATTGACTTGCTAGCGCGGGAGGCTGCTATCTTGCTGCTTGCCTGCGGTATCTCTATCTCTGGTGGGTTCTTTCTTGGGGTTGGCCCGGTCGTGTTCATGTTCCCCGTTATGGAATCAGTGTCCCGCACCGAGCTCGCGGTTCCTTCTTCAGTGTGGGGACTGGAGCAGGCAGACCGGAGGCACAGTGAGCAGCGTGCGACGTGCGTACGTCCCCTTGTTGTGTCTCCATGTGTCTCCTCAGTGAGCTCCCCTCCCCGTTTCTCTGCGGCCTGCGGTTGGGCCAGCGGCGGCCGAGGGTTCTCGCGAGCATGAGGGGGAATTGCCATTGCCAATGGGCAGCGGGTTGGAGGAATGGCGTCTGGCAGCAGCTAGACCGCACTGGGAGACAGAGCTCAGAGAGATGGGGTCGTGGCAGGGGTACGGTAGGCGAATGGAGGTGGTGGTCACTGGTCAAAGACAAGGATGAAGAGAAGAGGGTTTGGGTCTTCGGTGGCTACGGTCAATCATGGCGGCAGAGGCAAAACGGTTCGGAGTCTGTCGTGTGTAGTGTAATCTGCAGATATCTCTGACGGTGATTGGGTGCGCATCCAACGCCATTCAGCCTTGGCGGACGACACTGACGGCAGGTGAGAAGAGCGTAAGAAACTTGATCGTGCGGGGTGGGCGTGATAAAAGTTGGGGGCGCTGTCACTGTTCATCTCGAGAGTTCCGAGTGATGATGGCGGCGGTACTTGGCGGACAAAGTCACTCGTTAACGCCAAGTATCGTCGACCGCCGAGCGCGAGTCGTGAGTTTGCAGCTGACGACCCCGGCTGCGGTGCCTGAGATGCCTAGAGATTGCCCAGTCTCGACAGCAGAAGTTGGCGTGGTGATACGGACAGTTGGGAGAAGCTTAGACGGGACAAGCAAAAGGACCAAGACTCAAAGTACCTGGAGCCGCGAGACAATCCAGACGATCCTGGGACTCCTGGCCGAGGGTGGGCAGCCATCGGTGGTACCAAGAAAACACCAAGACATTGGGCGAATGCAAGAGATTCCTTCCATGCCTTGCTGCACGCATTCGGAGTGCCCTGCTGAAGAGCTGCAAACAGCGCCCGCAGACACGGAATTGCCATTTTATCCATGGGAACATCACAAGAAAAATTTGCACAAAAAAGAGACCTGTCGCGTGTTGAGTTGCTGCTGACACCATGCGATGCTTATCTCTGGGGCGAACTGAATGAAGACGATTGAAGGTTTTTTCCTCGCTAGATTTCCTTGATCGCAGAATTTAGTGGCTCCAACAGCGAAAACAACCTTGTCTTGTCCGCTAATCCAAGACGGTCCGTCACATTGAAACCACGCGAATCCGCCCGTCAGACACGGGATATTTCGTCAGCCTGGCGCGGATGCCAGGAAGCGCAGCTGAACGTGCAACAACAAGAAACGGTACAGAAGAAAGCCTACCTGCCAGAGCAATCACAGCTGTGAATTAAGGTATCCCTCTAGAGTAGCAGAGGCGTGGGTGACCCGGACAAGGCGCACCTCCAACATGCAGTTTTCCAGTGCCTCGGGGTGTGTTGTGTTGTGTTGCCAGGACCATCTCCTCCACCACACCACACACCACCATGACCACCGTCTTCATCTCCAGCAACTCACAGAGAGCCAAGAGATAGAGAGCTCACGCGATGCGAGTTCATTCGGGCAATCTGCGGGGGCATATTTCAGCCACGATTCAGCATCTTGCCAATCATGCCCCAGACGCTCTGACCCAGAAAGGCTGCTCGCTCGCTGCTCAGTGCTCAGTGCTCAGTGCTTCTCATCACTCAATCGGGTCCTTTGGCGGCTGCTGCTGCTGCTGGGAAGACCTGGCCTAGCAACAAGGGGTCGCCTAGGAAAGGTTCACGAGACATGATAGATATCGGCGTGCCCGTTCATCCAGTGACATTGCCGCTGAAAGTAAGTAAACTGACACGGACAATTGCAGGCTACAGAGGACCAGGCCATTCACTACATAGGCACCTAGGCTAGAGCCGTCTGCCAAAGTGGCTGCATTGGCCCTGATTCCTGAAGCTTGGGGCGGTGGAAAAGTGCCCTGGCGCATCTGCACGAGCGGCTTGTCCATCTCTTGGTGGTTCCTGTGGCCTCGAACATCCCGTAGCTAGGCATTGCTTGTTGCTCAACACAGACTAAAAGGGCAGAAACGCCTGGCAGATGTAGGGGCCGCGATTGGGCGCCTCCCAGCCTCTCCCGGCCTGTCTCACCGAAAGAATGCCCAGCAGCCTCAGCTCATATCTCAGGGTCCTTTGCGAGAGCCTCGCGGGTCTAGATCTAGGACTAGGTGCTCGAGTCACGATGTTTGTATTCACCGTCAAAACACAGCAGCAAAGAGAGGGAGACTGGACTCGTGCAACCAACTGGAGCACACAGCATCTATGTCGTACGTACTCGTTATGCGAAACTGTTAGGTGTCCAGCTGATGGCGGTACATGACTTGAGGGCCCTAATCACCCGCTGCCACTAACATGAATTGATAATATCAGCGTCCCTGAGGATTCCATTTTGCGTTCTAGAAACGAAGGATGCGTCTCTCACCTCGCACAGCTCCGCCACCCTGCCACCATCTTCCCTGCCTGCCCCTCCCCCATCACTTTCCCAGCTTCTCCTCGTCCATTCAGAGGCGTCCATCGTCTCCCCGCCAAGACGTTTATCTCTGGCCTAAATAAGCAGGTCCTTATCTCCTCCACATGACGGGCCCCCTCCCCTGTTCACAGTCGAGTGGGCATTCAGAGCATGGATTTGGCCGAGCTTATCCTCGCCCTTGACCGCACTTGGCTTAGACTGCCGAAGGGCCACTCCGGATGGCTTGCGATGGCCTCGGGCAGATTGTCTACTCCTGACAAAAGTCAATGGCTGGAATGTTTCGACAGCAAGCAAACACGCACACAACTGTTGGTACTGTTTGTAACTTCGGACCGGCGTTGGCTTCAGGTGGCTTTCGAGTTTTCCTAGTCCCTACCGTTCGTCGCTGACACGGACACATGGCCGAATGCGTGTCCCCTGCTAGCCCTTCATGTTTTTTTTTTACGAATCAGTTGGCGTCTTTTGGCGTGCGGGAGCCATTCCCAATGGGTGTGTAGCCCTCTCCCACATTCCACGCCCATCGTCTGATTTTGCATATGTCGGGACCTCTGGCGCCTGGCGTCTGCCCTGGCGCTGGCGTACACACATACATATTCCCACCAGCTTGGGCTGACGGGGAGCAGGTTCCAGCTCAGCTGTCAGCCTTCTGCTGCGCTCTGTAGACGGGCAAAACGTGAAGACGCGATGCAACGGTGGCCTGGGCTTTTCTCATATGCAGCCGGCGAGGACCTCGCAGGGTCGGTTAGCATGCCGAGAAAACCATGACGGCTTCATCGAGACTCGATGCGCCAGGCCATCACAGGTAGTTAGTGTTAGTCGAGGTCTGCCAAGTGCACTGCCATCACAACGTGTCGTTCATCGCTCATGATGCCTGGCGATCAATGCGTCTTTTCCACGTCAACCGAACGGTATACGGACTCCATCTTCCCCTCCATCACGATCCTCCACGGCGGCATTCTATTTCGTCTCCAGTATTCAGCGGCAGACAACTTTGCCGACAGTCGACTCAAGACGCGCCAGTTCGTCATTTCAACAGACCCAACGTTTAATTCCCGACGTCCATCCGGCGGTGCGAGATCTGGGATCTTGAGCGGGTCAACCACTGGGTTGGCCCCTCTCCAGCAGAGCGTCAGGGGTGATGCTCGCGCGTCGGTGAAGGGGCCGTTGGCGGTTGAGGACCCTTTGGTCTCCGTCTTCCAGGGCGCCTAGGCTCATGACGAATTCCATCTAGTCACCACAAACCGACCGACCGGCGACCGCCAACCAGACCACCAGACGGTGTGGTGCCGCGAGGCGTCCCCCAGTGCCGGGACGATGTGCGCGCGTCTCTCTCCACGACCCAAGACTCGGGATCCCGAAGTCGATAACAAACGGCCTCCGCTCCGGCGCTTCCAGCGTAGTGCCTGGGCGGTGATGGAAAGACGAAAATTGGAATTGCGCCATTCGCGACCCGGGCCAACTTCGCCAAGACTCTGTTAGATGAGGTATTTTTGACAGGCAGTCAAGTCATGGTCAATTCCTGCTCATCGCTTCCCCATCGCATTCGTATGTTGCGCCCGCGTTGGACATTGGCAACATGGTCTTGGCCCCGGCTACTCGGAGACGTGATGTGGTATTGATCGACTATCAACGCGATCTCGAGCCGCATTGAGTTTACGGCTCTTCCGCGAAGGTTTGTCGCATCGGTGAAGACGTTGTAAACATGTAGCAGGCTTTTTTCCCGAGCCTGCCCTGCGATGCGCCTTCTGTTCTCTTCGATGTTTCTCATGAATGGTGTTTATTC